AGATCAAGACTTCAAGTGATGCATGGCTCCCCTTTTCTGTGTTTGTGCCTACAGTATATAAACTCTTGACTTTTTTGAGTCCGATGCTGAAGTTGTCAATAGTCAGTGCTGCCACTCTCTGGTTAGGGTGGAACTGCTTGTTCTGCCAAATACCTTTCCTGAATCCGTATTATAATGTGGATTATGACCAAAATTTAATGGATTGTTCCTTGAACTGAGGTGCATTTATGGTAAAAAAAAAAAAAAAAAAAAAAAATCTTAAAATCCGTTCAAAACTTTTCCAGTTATGCTGTTCACAGACAGAGAGACAAACTCGACTAAAAACATAATCCCCTTGGTGGAGGTAACCAGGCAGTTACATGAAGGCCTCAGAAAATTTTAGAGAGAAAATTATAAACCCAACATCCTCAAGCTAAAGGAGCAAAGCAGCCAGATGAGCGATTTGGTTGGTGAGAAAAGCTGCGTTACTTAACTTGTGTCAGTGGTCATCATTTTTAGACATCTTATGCTTTGTTCAGAGAGACGTCTTTCTCTGAAACTGGAGTACAACAGATATGGAACAGCGATCGACCCTGATATGATGATTCAAGTGTCGGCCATCACCATCGACAAGCAAACCATAGATTTCCACAAGGCTGAAAAAATAATTGTGCTAGATGAACCGGACGTGGGGATCAAGGTAAGAATAATGCAGGACATCTGAAAAATGATGGAAACAAGCATGGCCGCGGGAAGTGGGGATGCTACAGCATCCCCTAGTGGCAAGAGGGAGATTTTAAAATAATTTATTAAAAATGCACAATTTATAAATTTCTTATCAATATTTTTGGAAATGATTTTTACTTTTTTATATTTTACTATTATGTGTATTTGGATTTTAATTTAATTTTGAAGCCTATAAACACAAGTTCACAGAAGTTACGTTGCCTTAGCAACGTCAAGCAAGCTAAAGGTTGCCGAGTAAAGAGTTATCCACTCGTGGCAGGAGACTAGTAAATTTACATAGTCTAATGACAGGAAAGAGGAGAAAATATGGCACAGAAACGCATTTCTGACTTTTTTGTAAAACCACCACCAGTGAAGAAGAACACTAGTACCGCGACCACAGCAACAGAGAGCGGCCAGAATGAGGAGACTGTCCGCCCGCTCTGATGGCAGTGAAGTTTAATTAATAGCACATATATTCACCTGAAAACTGATGTCTGTGTTTAACAGACCCTAATTGCGTGCACTGAAGTGTAAAAGTAGTGAAAACTCAATCTATTCATTTATTTTTATGTAATGTGTTTTAAATAGGTCTATAGGCTTGTAGGTCTTTTGTCCAAAAAAAAGGTTGCACATTTTTGTAAAATATTGACACTTGGCAAAAAAACTCTTTCCAAAAAAAAAATTGTTTAATTAACTAGTAAATACAACATTGATCCCTCTAGTTCCTTAACAGTCCAAACCTTTTCTGAGCTAAATTTGATTTTTGCGCACATTGGAAGTGCAATTCACCTCAAATCTATGTTGTAATTTTAACAACTGAAGCATCTAAATTTTAACTCCACACAGTTTTTTCTCACTTGATTAACTAGCAGGTGCAGCGAGATTCATGCTCTTGAAGTTTTCAACATGCTTGTCCCATCAAAACTGCATCTGTGTATTCTATTAGTGTTTTATGTAATAAGGAGTGCATGATTGGGAAGTGGAGGAAAATGGCTCAACTAGAAACCCATGGCCGATCACCAACAATGTCAGGCTACACAATAGAAGCATTGATCAGCGAAGCAGTCTAGAGGTCTATGGGGGCTCTGGAGGGGCCGCAAAGATCCACAGATGAGGCAGAAATATCTGTCCACTTGACAAATTATGCACTCCACAAATTTGTCTTTAAAGAAAAATTGGCAAGACAAACATGATTGTAAAAAACATGAGAGATAATGTCTTGAAACTGAAATTAAATTGTGAAAAACTCAAAATGAGGTGGAAAACCCTACACATCACTACGAACATAACGTACTTCCATTGTCCTATTGGTTATGCACGGCGGTGGCAGCATTACAAACATTAAAGGCGGAGTTTTAACGTGCAGCAGGAAAATGACCCAGTACATACAATCGAAGCATCTTCTTATGTTTAAATGTCCAAGTCAAAGGCCAGATCTAAATCAAGTAAAAAAAATCAGTGCAAACACATGATGCCACAACAGGATTTGTGTTAAAAAAATAAAAAACATCTACAATTATTTCTCTATATCTGTTAGTCAGTGGTTTTTACTGGTTATTAAATAGAATGTCAATAAACGAACTGTATATGAAATGTTTAAAAGTTAACTTCTGCAAAGCATTGAACTTCTATTAACTGACTGCAGACATTTACAAACAGCTTAAAACATAAAAAATGTTCAACACTAACGCTTCTGTTTATGTTTGAGTTAGACCTAAAGATATGGATTTGTGTTAGAATTACATGAGAGCAAATACCTGCCCCTCAAGACAGTAATTTACAACACAGCATATTACAAGAAGACATTTATCCATAAAAATAAACTTAAACTGATTTGTATATTTCTTTTCTCTATTCAAGTGAAATGAAATGGTTAACCAAACTAACTTAATTCACAAGATTGTGTCCTACTGTTATCAATGATTATATTACAAATGTGAAAAATATAAACATAAAAGAAAAAACACGACGCTTTGTTTTAAACATTTTTGGCGAGGGCGCCACCATGTTGCCAGCTAAACCTCTCAACCATGAGGTATAGCTGGTATAGTATATGAAAAAAGCTTAATCTTTTTTATTTTATGTTTACCGTATATACTTCATATTTGTACTATAATTATTGACAACAGTAAGACACAATATCTTGAACTAAATTAGTATGGTTAACAGTTTCATTCCCACTTTAAAAGCAAGAATGTGCTCACAGTTCATGTTTTAAAAATCTACCAATATGTCCACCTGATAGCACTTTATGTCATCTCTTTTATGGGGAACCTGATCCTCCGTCTGCAGCTGCTGGGTGAAACCAGAGTGAACCAGCCTGTGACTGCGCAGCTGACCTTGTTAAACTCTTTACCAGAGCCGCTGCTAAACTGCAGCTTCGCTATAGAGGGCATCGGTCTCACAGACGGCAAACCCATAAAAGCAAAGTATGTCAAGTTTTTACCTCATTTATCTGCAAAGAGATCCTGGATTACGAATGTGTATTGTATGTGATATAATATATTTCAAGACAAAGGATTTTTTTTTAATAAAAAGAAGGGAGTGTTTTAAATTTTAGCAGTAACCCTGCTATGACCAATACTTACTGATGACCAATATTCAGAGAGAAAGAGAAAAATGTAAATGATTAGAAAATATGTCAATGTATGTCAAATAAACTGTCAATAAAACACAGATACCCTAATGCTACGTTCACACCCCAAGTGCTGAGTAGTAGAAGCAATGGGTCTACAGTTGACACACATTAAGGCTCATTAAAGGTTGTGCAGTGCATCTAGAACAGCATCGCATCGGAGCAACTGAAGAAGCTCCACATGCACTTCTGGGCATCCTAGGCGCATGACACACTTCACAAACAGCAGATGTTGGAGTTAGATAAGATTAGCTTTTGCTGCTTGAAGTGCCACATCAACCAATCAGAGCGTTGCTGATGCAGAGTGCTATTATCACTCCAATAAAACTGTTTATCAACGCCTACATTGACTTAAAATGTCTAAACCTGCCAGCAAAATATGTTATATTTTATCCTCCTGGTGCCTGCAGTTTGTACCACATACCTGAAAAACGCTAACATCTGCATCCAGTAACCACGAATAGTAGGGGAAAATCTCCAAGAGGTGGCCAGGCCTGAGGCAGCTGCTGCTGGGCATTCCCAGTGACAGCCGGTATGTGGGGGTCTGAGGTGCCGATAATAAAAAAGGCAGGATCGTAAATTTCGATGAATTGACCGCACAGATGATGTTTTAAGGTGGACTTTCTCACTTAAAAATATATTAAAACTACTTTCTACCCACCTATAACAGCAAATATAGCAAAGCCGTTCTCTACCATTGAACACAGGAGCAGCAGAAGCATCAGACGCATCTGGACACACTTTACTGGACGCAACTCAGGAGCATCAAGGATGCGTCTGACCTTAATGTGTACAAACATCCTAAATGATGCTGCAGGTTCTTTTTTGCTGCTGAAATTGGATTAGGTGTGAACGTAGCATAAGAACTAAGAACAACAGAGCAAACATAAACCTATAAAAGCTAGAGGCCCAAATAATTGTGATGAATCTGTCTTACAGGGTGGGAACTGTGGGAGCGAAGCAAGAAGCAAAGGCTAGCATTGACTTTAAGCCCACCATCACCGGCTCCAGTGTACTGCTGGTGAACTTTGATAGCGACAAACTGAAGAACATCAAGAGCTTCATTGATGTCGTTGTGAAAGAATGAATCAGACCACAACTCTTGGCAATCGAGCCATTTGATGTTATAGTTTAACTTAAAGCCATAATGTTTTCATTTTATGAGATTTAAATGTACAGTAATGAAAAAGGAGTAAAGATTTTTGTCAATATACACATATGTTTGAATTTGTTAATAGAGTACATTCATTACACTGCTGTTATCCAAATAAGAGGAATTTGTGCAGAAGGCAAAGATAGAATTGAAATGGAAATAAAACATTTGGAAAGGAATCATAAACATATACAAATAAAAGCTTATGAATTCTTGAAAACAGCTTCCGAGACTATAAATAATATTACGTTCACAGGTAACAATTATGGTAGACATTTATTCAACCAGCATGCGTCCTCAGATCATGCAACTACTTTAGCCTTATATTAGTTGGCTTTTGTTGTGTCCTCCCTGAGCTGTAATTATTCTGTCCAATCACCATCCTTATATGCCACACCTGGGAAGTGAATAAATTGTCTCAGGTGAAGGAAAAGTGCTTGCAACTGTATGTGCATGTAGTAAGTCCTTGATCTTTGGAGCTTATGAAAAATGGAAGCAGTAACATAAGTTTTGCTTTTTCTATCTTTATCAACAACATATATTTAAGGGTTAGAATGTATAATTTAAGACTTGACATTACATCAGATCAATAAACAAAGGAAAAGAACATTTCCAATTTTTTCTTTATCACGAAAACAAGTGATCATGTTGTCTGGCTTAAACCACTAAAGACTTAATACAAGCCAGTGTCATTGACCTCCACTGTCAGGACGGCTTCACCTGAATCTGTCATGGAGGCACTTATGATAACATAGTCACCCTCATAAAAAATGCCCGACTCATCAGCTTTTCCTCTGACAAAGTTACTCTCACCTCCATTGTACATCTTGTCGTAAAGACTGTGGTCACAGTTTTTATCTTTATTAAAGATTCCCACAGCAAACCAGTTGGAGTAAAGGATTCTGTCATAAGGCACAGAGAACATGACGGCCATGATGTGGCTGTAGTCGTTCAACTCGGCATTGAAAAGGTCGTAAGTAAAGACACCAACGGCCCCTGTAGCTGCTCCTTTAGTCTTTTTAAAATGTGCCTTCACGGCAGAGCAAGGACCAACCATTGGAGGCAAAGGCACCTCACAGAAGCCGCTCTCAGTGTAGACCCTGGAAAAATGGAGAAATAAAAGCAGATTGGGTTTTTTTGCAATGTGAGAAATTCTCTTCCTGGGCGGGGTTTTATCTTATTATTTGATCTGCAGTCATGAAACCATTCACAACAGACTTTTTTTCTTTCTCAAATGCTGGCTGTATATGATATAAGTGTTCTGATGGAAATTTTGATGAATCTCCTAAATTTGTAATTAAAACCATTCTTCACTTAAGACATTTAAAATTTGTTTACAACATATCATTACATATTTGTACAAGAACACAATAAAATATATGTTTTCTGTGTAAAATTTGGACAAAAAGTTACAGTTAAATGTATTAGTTTGTTTTAAAGGGGTCATAGAATGATTATATAGGGTGTTTGGTGTTGGTCCTTAAGGTCTCTTAATAGCATGTGTAACTTTGGTTGGGCTGAAAATGGCATATTTGCTGTTCTATGAGCCCTAATGCAAGCCTGTTTATAAGCCTCAGAATGAAACAACAGGTTTTCTTCCTTTTATGGTATGTTCATGAATATTTAGATGAGCTGCACGCTGATTGGTTGCTTTACAATGAGCGAAGCTGATGAGCATCATAGCAACAAGCACTCACTCACTGAAACGTCGAAATTTTTGATATAGGTAGAAACCAGACGTCCTCTTTTTCCCAGACATGTCCTACTTTTCAAACCTAAAAAAATGTCCTTAGGGAATTTCAAAATCGTCCGGGATTTTGGTTGAATACAGTGCAGCAGAACCGAGCCGTGAGCTCCGGGGCGGGTCTGACCTGGGGAAGGAGCGACCAAACCTGACCCTGTGAAGGTAGCCTGGACACCGGCGGCCCTGTGCTTCCCCCCGTCTGCTTTACAAAGTAAGGCAGGCGAAGCATACCGTCACCGGGTCAGGTTCGGTAACCCGGTCGCTGGGATTCCCGGACCAGCCCCGGAGCTCACTGCTCGGTTTGAATGCCCGGTCGGGTCCAGCCAGTGGCCCAGCAGCCCCCCCAAAGTTTAGCAAATTGTGCTTTGAACTGTCCAAGATTTTGAAAGCTGTCTTCAGTAAAATGCTTAGAGCAAATAAACAGCTGGGAATCAAACTTTACAGGGATCTTCTGGTAGACAAAAATAATCCATGCCTGTCAAGTCTTCAGATCCTTGGAAAGACTGTGAAAATGTTCCCCTTTCTCCGTTCAGCCTGGAACACTGCATTTACTGTATGTCAATTTTTCGACAAAAGTACAGGTCAGAACCAAATAAGGCAACATCCCCGAGTTTACGTCAACTTGGGGCTTCGTTTGGGTTTGCTTGTTTTATGGTGGAAGTTTGGAATTGTGAGATTTGCATAGAAAGGAGGTGTCGATGGGGTTTGAACTTCTCTGTACGTCACTTTCACCCACTGAACTATTGTTATTCATCTATAACAATGTACACTCGGTTTTGCATTCTATGACCCCTTAAAATTACTACCAAATTCCTTATGAAATGTCCATTGTCACATTTCCTTTGCTGTTGTATGGACACTGTTGTAAACCCACAAATTGGGTCTTAAAAGTGACGCATTACCTTGGGTTGGAAAGAGTGTAGGAGTTTGTGTTGTTCTTAATCTCAACAGAGCACTGACGGTGAGGCATTGTGTTGAGGTTTGCTGAGTGGGGTAAGAGACCAGACTGTGACCTGCAAAAAAAAACATATAAAAAAAACCTTTAAAAAATAAGGTTATGGACCATATGGATAAGCTGGATTTAAAAAAAAAATAATATTTTTAATATACAGAAATATGTAATTCAGAAGGATAGTCAGGTAAATGTCCAAGAGGAAAATTTTTTTATTAAATTGCAGCTAACGAATTGATTTAATGGGAAAAATCTAAAAATAAACGTCAACAGGTTGCACACTTTTAAATATGGAACATTTTCTAACTGCAGCTTTGCTTACCTTTATTCAGCCTGCTTGTTCAAAAGAAATACAGATGATTCTAGAAGACAGATTGGGGATCCTGGTTCCAGACTGAATGAAGCCACTCTGCGTCAGCTCGTGACTGACGAGGTTTTATTGACACAGATAATCAGGACCTTTAACATTTGACTTCCTCTTTATCTAACTCTGAGCATTTTCCCCAGTGTGACACAAATTATCACACAGGGAGATAAGAATAGGCTGATTCAATCACAGTGTGTTTAGCTTCTGTTAAAAGGTTTGCTTTGCTGTTTTTCACTTACAAAAAAGTTGTTGGGAATATAGAAACAGATTAATTAGTGATGGTTGTATAGTACTAAGATGAAATATCCCTATAATATGGGCAACAAATGAATGGTTTTCAGTTTATCAGCCAAGAGTGTGTCCTTTAACCAGGATACTACCACACTGTTGTTAATCTGAATCATTAATAAAACATAGGCATCGGTTCCTGGTAAATAATGACAGGGGCATATTTGTTGGGTTTTTAACAATCAAATCAGAAACTTGACTCTTCAACAATGTTTCAGGAAAAAAAACTCTTAAAAATTAAAATATGGTTGTTGTTATAGAGGTGATTTATTTGCATTGCTTGAAATTATTGCATAAGGACAATTAAAATCACCTCCCCACCTAAATATCTGCCTATTGAAGTAAACCACTAAATTTATTAATCTTGCTTTATTGTGACTAAGATAAAAAAAAGGAGTCTTAGAAAACAGCAGAAATTAAAATTTAAAAGTCTTAAAGTTTTGTTAACAGACTGATCTCTCGTTGAGAGACGCCAAAGTAACCAGAAACAGGCTATGGAATACGTATGTGTGTACTTTGGTTCTGTGTGTACCAAAGTTCACACACAACCAAGATACACGAGGAGACACTTAGAAAACATTTATAACTTCTTGTATGTTTGTGTTTCTATAAAACATATATTACCATTGGTCTAGAAATAAGCAATGGCTTAATTGTTGCTTTATTTGTCACAGAACCTGGAGCAGCATGGGAGACATTTCAGTTTCCATACAGCCTATACAGGAAAAGACCACAGACATTATAAATGGGGGGACACGGGGTCTGGGGCCTTGCTGCACCTTAAAGGCCTGAACGGCACATTAGTTAAGAGAAAAAAAAGAGAAAAGGCTCACAATGGGAAAGAGGATGTAGGCCTCTGCAGTTTTTAAAGATAAAAATCCATTGAAACCGCCGATCTGCAGAGAAAGATTTAATGAGCATAGCCTTTGAATGGAACAAAACAGAATGGAATGAGATGATCACTGAAACCTACTGATATCCACTGATGGGCACGTTACTTTGAAAAAGTTATTAGTTATAGTTAATAGTAACTTCTCCCCAAAAGTAACTAAGTTACTAACTGAGTTACTCCAAGATAAAAGTAACTAGTTATTAGTAAAAGTAACTATTGCGTGTGTTTCAAAGCCAGCTGAATACAGTGGATGACAAAGACAAGTACCTGCAGAGAGTTTTGCATTTATTGCAACTCAACGTAAATGACATCGGGGGGAACGCTATCTGAGGGGCCTATGAAGCCCCTCAGATAGCGTTCCCCCTGCTTAACATGGGGGGAATGGAATCTGATGGGCCTTTAAACCCCGTCAGATAGCATTTCCCTCTTCTTAACATGGGGGGAACGGTTTCTGATGCGGCGTTAATATCATCAGGCTGGATTACCTCTACCTCTTTAGTGAGCATGCGCATTTCCTGTTGCTTGCCTGGTGAATCGTACCGCCTGCGCAGTGCAGAGATGCAGGGGAAACAGTATGTGATGGGGAAACGCAGCTCAATGCAACGCCGGTATTTCCATCTGAAAAACGCTGTTTTACTGCCGGAGTCCTCCTCACTCTCCATCTCTCTGTGTGTGCTGTACGTTAACACCCGCCAGCGGAAACACCCACCTACCTAACTGACAGACAGAATCTCACTATACATCAGCCAATCTCATCCTCCCCTCTTTCATAACAAGGCGCGTACGAGTCCTATCATGAAAAAAGGTTAATTGTGCGACCTGAGTGACATGCATTTATGGGGTGTCGGCAATGGTAACTGCGTTATAGTTACAGTCAAAGTAATTAGTTAGATTACTCGTTACTAAAAAAAGGCAACGCCATTACTCACATCACTCGTGATATCCAAACAACTCTAGGTGTCAGTGATTATATCATCAAAATTAACATTTTTAGTTTTTAAATTTTAAAAACAAGCTGTTTTGAATGAAATATTTTTTGTACACACTCGTGTATACAAAATGACAAAATAAATCAGTCTAAGTCTAATTTTCTTGTGGTGTTCTTGTAATCTAGGGTCTAAGAGTTGTTTTTAAAGGAATGTTGATTGAAATTGCGATATAGAAACTAATTATCAATTTTGAGAGATAATTGATTTGATTTTACAAGGTTTCCAATCTTTACAGTTTTTGAATTCACACCCCACCACCACCCCAAGACCCTGCAACTGCAGCCAAACTAGATGGAATATCATATGTGACTATACACACCGGCCTGTGCCCACATCCTTTCATAATGCATAATTAATTCTTCATTCCCTTTTATGTCTGACCCTAACCCTTCTTCTTATCTCTACCCTAATCAATTTCAGTACATACCTAACCCTAAACTGAACCTAAACTTAGTCTACAGCTTAGTCTTAAACCTCATACTCGACCCAAGAGGAGAACTTCTCATGGGAATCATTCATCAGTCCCCCAATGTAGTATATTCACATACACAATTCTTTTTTTTTTTTTAATACACAATTCTAAATGAGGAATCGTCTAATGATATCACAGCACAGTATATCAGTATCACAAACTTGTTAAAGGTCCAAAAGAGCAGGTATGATGTATACACCAAAAGAAAGGATATTTTCTTGACATTCTGCAGCCTTTTCTTTTTGTTTACAATATAAATAAACATAAAACGAGCACTGAGGAATGAGAGAGGAAGAATAAAAAGAAAAGAAATAAATACAAGGGAGAAGGGGTCCACTTGAACAGAACTAAATCAGAGAGAATCTTGCACAGATTGTCTTTTTGAGAGCATTTGTTCCTCTAGACATCATCTCAATTTAGTTCAAGCTCATATTCCAAATCAGCCTTGACTAGTAAGTAGCAAAAAAGATCAAAAGACAGAATTTCATTATATACTTTAAAAATTGTAGTCAATTGGGTCATGGGTCAGAAACTCCTCCCACTGCAGAAAGTTGGTGGGATAGGGTGAAAGTCTGTGAGTAAAACCTTGGAACAGTCAAATTGGAAAGAAAGATGGAGTTATTCTGGAAGTTTTATAAATACCTTTCATCTGCTTTTTTGCAATTTGACTTTAGCTGTCAGACCCAGTCACACTTTTCCACTAGTTTTATTGATTTCTGATTTTCACTGTTATTTTTTTTTTTTTACAAGCACATATTTAAATGGCACTATTCCTTCTTGTATGTAATATATTTTGGCCCAGCCATAAGAAGATTTGAACAGGCACACAAAAACCTGATTGATTAGTATAATTTGGTTCTTATACGTGTATTATCAGTGGGGGGGGGGGGGGGGGGGTGTCAATCTTGGTCTTTAAGAATAATATTTCTGATGAATTTAAATGTAAACAAATCAAATAATGACAGTTGTAATTATCTCAGAATTCTTCATTTGGAATTCTGATGACAGGTCTGTATTACATCACAGAGGACCTTTATATTCCAAGCAAGAATTCTAGCAGACTCATTTCTGCACCGTCAAGGTCAACATTAGCACAGCAGAAAGGTTTTAATCCTTTGGAGGAAAATATAAGAGAAAACATGTCACTGCATAATGAGCTTCGCCTGACGAGGCAGTTGTGTGACGCTGTCATCAGGGTGGACGGTGCTGAATTTTCCGTGCACAAGCTTGTCCTGTGCAAATGCAGCCCATATTTCAGGTAAGGTCTTAGCAGGAGATGCTGCAGACTTTTTGAGAAAGAAATGGCCTGTTATGAGAAAACAAATAAGAGTAAGAGCCTGTGATAAGAAGTAAATTTAATGGAAAGTTCTGGCTATCGTTTGTTTGTGGATTCAGGATCTTCGTAATGATCTGAAACGCTGTGTCTATTCATCAAATGTTTAATAAGTGTTTTCTCTTTCTTTGTTTTTCACAGGGCTCTGTTTAGCCGCTGGTCAACACCAGCCTGTGCGACCTTTGACATCCCTGAAGTCACACCCTACCAAATGTGCCTCATTATTGATTTTGCCTACACAGGCTATGTTCCTCTGACAAACGAAAACGCTCTGGAGCTCTTCATAATGGCAGACCACTTTGGTATTAGTGGCCTTTTACAAGCTTGCAGTGATTTCTTGGAGAAACACCTGAGCCCCCTGAACTGCATCCAAATCTGGAAGCTTACATACACATTCTACCACCCTGAACTGAGAGACAAGGCCTTTTCATATGTCCTTAGACATTTTGAGGAGGTTGTCTCTACTTGTGGAGATTTCCTTCTTCTCTCTGCACAGAGTCTTGCTGATATCGTTGGCAGTGACCTGCTAATTGTAAAGCGGGAAGAGATAGTATATGAAGCCATCCTTAAATGGATGAACTATGCACCTGAGGAAAGGAAAGAATACAGCTCACTGCTGTTTCCCAAGGTACTTTGACAAAAACAGTCTTCACTTAAATTTTACAGAAAAAAATAGTATTCTTTCTTTGATACATAATTAGATACATGAACAATCGAAATATTGACATCAACTGCAGATCTGGTTTTGGCTCATTAAGGCAGTAACCCAGAGTAGGGAGTGTATATGGTCTGTCATCTAGTGGCCAAATAGGTTGAGGCACAAGTGCCTAGGTGCTACTTTTAGCTGTGTTTAATATAGAAATTAATTATTAGAGAATCAGAGTAGGAATATAAAAACTTGAGTTTAGGAGGGTAAGAAAAGGACTTGGCTGGGACACCATTCATGAAACGACAGGACACAAGGATATGATTCATGGAATAATTACAATCTATCAGTGAAAAATTGTTTTATTTTTTCTCTATTTTCTAAGGTCACAATTAAAAACACAGGGTGAGATTGAGTACAAATTTAGGTTGATAGAAAAAACTTTACAAAAGAAAAAACAACCAATAATATAATAACCAATTAAACAA